AAACATATTGACCGCCAGTTGTGTCACAAATTCCACTCAAACCTGACTTTCGAGAAAAGTTTGCCCATAAATGCCTGAAACAGTATAAACAGCAATAAAAGGGCCAAACCTACGAAGCAATAGTAACCGATCTCCGTATAAATGATATATACGGCGACCCCAGTCTGTATGGGCGCTACGAGTAAATAACAGACATTTGTTGAAAACTGAATAAAAATTATTAATAAAAATCCATTTACTACTACAGTTCCCTCAAATATAGCCCATACCTCATCAAATCGACTGACATCATTAGACATTAGGTTCACAATGTGGCCCACTGTGGTTTTGGCCAGAGATGCCCGGCTCAGTTTAAGAGACTAATTACAAAAGGCATGTAAATTGACCATGACCAATTTTATAAAATTTTATACCTTCTTATAAATAAGAGTAGAGGAAGCGGCGCGTAATCTCATACCCATTCGCATGACTATAATGGTGGCCGATTGGTACAGCAATATGAACAAGGCCGTACAAAAACATACTCCCCCGGCGGCCACGCATGCTTGCTTAAAGGTGCGATTTTCGACCTTGTTAAAATGGTCTATCACTACGCCTAGTAGCAGGGGCTGACATATACGACAAACGCATTCCTACCAACAAAAGGTTTTAACATTTTATTAATGAAACTTTTCATGTTGAGCATCCAGATGGTTTTAATTATCTGAAATTATACGCTTACCCCCAATATTAATAAAGTGAGTGGCGGTATATAGTACTTCCCGAATGCCATAACTAATGCGCTCCAGAATTTGGATGACTTTTTTTGACGTTCATTATTCCAGTGCCTGATATGTGGTCACAATTTAGTATATCTCTAATCAGCCTTCCCTCCCATCCCGGCTCTATATGAATGACTGATTTACTAGACTCCATGAGCCCATACCTACTTTTCAAGCTCCTGGACAATCCGTTGTGACTCGTCGTGTCGGGAGCACCGGAAGAGGTCGTCTACATTGAGACCATTGTTTCGCCAACCCGTCATAAACACCGGGAATATCCATCTGTTTGGTCATAATGTTTGAAATAATGATTATTTAGGAAATCTTATTTTAGTTAATCAGATAATTTGTTTTTAAATTATAAAGTTTTTTATAATGTTAAGAATAATGTAGGTACCAAAATTAATTTGTATATTATGCTCTATGTAACTTTTATTGTTTCATGTTTGTGTATTTTTTTTATCTACCGTATACTGTACTTTATTTAAAATGTAAATTACTTTGTGGACAACCACTTGCATTGTTGAATTATTTATTTGATAATAAAAATAATTTTATATTATCACCATTTAATCTACTGATAGACTCAAGTAATCAATTTGAATAAACTCTAAACCATTTGAAATATTTGTTGAAAATTTTATATGTAATTAATAATATTTATTAGGAATTATTTTTGTGTAGTTTTCATATTTATTGAGCACCGGTATGCCAACAGCGTGTATAACAGGTGTTTGACAAACTCACGAGTCAACACAAAACATTTAATTTAAAACATTTAAAACATTTAAAACATTTAAAAACATTTAAATATTGAACAAGGCAACATTTGAGTGATCACTGCATCCATAGATCTATCATTATGTTCACTAATTAGTGTGTATTTAGTGAATATTATTATCAGTATATTAATTTCATTTTGTAAATACCTTCAATTATAATTATTAATTTTTATTAAATTCAAATAACACAAACTAATTCACATAATTAAGATTAGATACAATTATCTATTTACCTAAAATAGGACCAAGACAATTTAACACTTACGTGAGAAATATTTTTTGAAAAATATTCGCATTATCCCACCGAGACTTCCCCAATATTTTCGCACCCTCCTCCATTATTAATTTTTAAATTATTTATAAATATGTTTATTCTGAGATTAAAATTAATTACTATTGAGATTTATAATTTAGATTATTTTTTAATCATTTTATAATTAATTTTAAATAGACTCAATTGACAACAGCACATCTAGTAATATATAATTTAATACCATTATGAAATTATATACCTTAAATAATTTAATAACTATTAAATCTAATAAAATTTTAAGAAAACATATGTACTATCAATTGTTAAAGTATTCCTAGAAATATACTTTTCAAACTGTAATTTTAGCATTAACACACATTAATAAATAATGATTGCCAAAATAATTAAAAGTAATTTTCGATAAATAGTAAAAATCCAAATAAAATAAATTTATAAATTAATGTTATATTTAATAAATATGTTTGTGATTTACATTATAATTAATAAGCATATTATACAATCAATAAATTAATTATAATAAACAAAGTGATAACAAATGATAACAAGTGATAAATAAGCAAATTTTATGATTATAAATATCAGAAAATAATTCTCAATATATAAATTGGTGTTATAATGTATGCGATATCTGTCCAAACTTTAAACTGTATTTTTTATTTTACAACATAAATATGTTTTTGATATCAAATGACAGGGCTTAGTATAAACACATTTGTAATGACTAAACATTGAATACAACCAAATTAAACACATCTGGACCGCACGACTTCATTACCGTTAATTTGCGGTGAAAATATCAAATATGGCATATATTACGACAAATAGCATGATTGGATGTGCAAGTTCATTCATTAATGAAAAATATTTAGAATATTCAGTTACTTAAGGGATTAATTGAAATGAGTAGGTGAATTCATTTTGTGAACTTATTATAAAAGTTGTGATTATGAATTATAAGTCAAATCAATTTCTATATTGGCATTCATTTAGCTTTTGAGTTTAATTCCAGCCCTGTTTTCAAAGTATTTAAAACTTGTTTCTATAAAATGATTTCAGAATTTAAAACGTTATGATAAGTATTTAAAGTCCGAAAGTTTTGTTTGCTAATTGAGTTCAATCCACGAGTGATCACAACTAACTCACAAATTGGTATTGATTTTTGATTTAATAACAAAATAAAATTAAAATACTATAAGATTTACAGTCTATTTTCATAATCAGTGGTACTATTAAGAACCAAGTATTTATTGTACTGTACAGTATAATAAATAATATATTAAATAATTATATGCAGTATTCAGTAATGTACATATTTTAATGACAATATAATCATAAAATCAATAATAACTATATTAAATTATAAATAACAAATTTTTAATTAAAATTTTGACAAACATATACCAGTACTTGTACTAATTATGATGACCTACAAGTTATTATTTCATAATAAATAGATGATAATTCTAAATATATTCTGTAATGTGAGATAACATTGCTCACAATTGTAAAAATTACTTTTGAAAAATTATTCAATTTGTGAATTGTCTGTCACTTTATAAAAATTATAATTTAAAGTTATTTATTAAAGTATTCTTAAAATGTTTGTGTATTTCAGTACTATTTTATGGGGGAATAGAAGTGACAAAAGAGTACTTCAGTTATCCATATGTTTATACGCTTTCTGTGAAACCGTCGAATCGTTTAGATTTACCGCCGATTACTGTCTGTACGGAAAGGGGTGTCATATTTGTTAAAACAAAGATTTTTGATTATTTTAATCTTAGCCGTGAATACGAAGAATACAAACAAAATGTTTCAAGGAAAGGGGTGTCATATTTGTTAAAACAAAGATTTTTGATTATTTTAATCTTAGCCGTGAATACGAGGAATACAAACAAAATGTTTCATTCAAATCAAAACAATATTTGAATGACTGTTTGGATTCCAAAAAATCTCAAAGATATGGCACCTGGGCTTGTGATGAGGAAATCAAAAACTTTAAAAATTATTATATGAATACATTTTACGAGAAGTTTGAGTTATTATTATTAAGTAATTTTACATTTCGTCAATTGTATGATAACTTTACCGTAAAATCTTCAGAACTGATCCATTGTTCGGCAAAATTTCATTCAAAAGACAAAACCAATAATAATAGCAATAATAGCAGTGATTCTCAAGTAATCACTGATTGTTCGCAAAGTTATGCCGTTTTGGAGACTATTTATGAGAATAAAGACTTCGGAATATGTTTCACGTATTTCTATACAAATCATAACAACTATTATCTCATTGACGACGANTCACTGATTGTTCGCAAAGTTATGCCGTTTTGGAGACTATTTATGAGAATAAAGACTTCGGAATATGTTTCACGTATTTCTATACAAATCATAACAACTATTATCTCATTGACGACGACTTCATTCAATTTGATATCAATTATGAAACGCAACAAAATATTTTTAAAAATGAACATGTTGATCTTAAGTTTAAACCAATGTTTGATTTTTCAGATTCAAAGACTAAGATTTTTGAGCCATCTTATTTTAACAAATATTTTGCATTTTATATTTTTACGAATAATAACATTAATTCACATTTTCTTACGTCAAAAGATACTGCACTTAAAACAGTACGTATTGGGACTGACATTAAGTTAAGGTTAAGTAAAACTTATGTTGACTTACTTTCCACTCCTTTCATGGATTATTGCACTCATCAAGGTTTGTACGCATAATTTATAAAGATTATAAAATATTGAATGTAATTATTAAATATTATTTTAGATTCCCTTGATGATTGTTACACAAAATGCACAGAAAAACTATATAACGATTCATTTGAATGTTTACCCAATCCTTACATCAATGAGGAGTTTATTCTCATGAATGCGACAGTTTGTGTCATATTCTATACGCTATGTTTACCATACGTAAACTCACTACTTCTGTAAACGTTTGTATCAACGCTAGCAGTCTGTCATCAAACATATCATACATTAGATGTTGAGAAAAGCAAATCTATGGGTCCGACAAACAGCTCAATAAGACTTGAATTCTTAAATTCACAACAATTTCATTACATTTCTCAACAAAAGTATCATTTCGTTGACTATCTCTCGAGTATCGGAGGACTTATTAGTTTATGGTTTGGCTGTGCATTGATTGATACAAATGTTTTGATTCGACGAATCATAATGAGAATTAAAATTATTATTTTATTTTTAATTAACAATACTTTTATAGCGTATATTAATGTAGTGCTCAATAGGTTTAGAAAAATAATTGAACTTTTTGAAAAATATAACTACAGGAAATTGGTTACTATTATATCCATACCATTCATTTTGACACAATTATTTAATTTAACGGCAGATTATTTACAATATTCAACCGTTTGGAGATAACTCTGCTAACTTATGTTTGAATGTCTGTTATTCTAAGGAAACGTAAGTAACGGAAGTTAGTGTTATACAATACTTTTATACAAACTTTTATAAAAATTTGATCCAAATATGCGGAACTATTTTATAGTTAATGTATTTAGCTATTTGGGGTTTAAAACTAATGTATCATCAGGCGATTATTTTTCTAATTTCCTAGATTCTTATGGTTTAAAATCTGACGCTGTTTATATTGAACTTATGAAAACTTATTATAGCACTAGTAATCGTATTTCTTATATTTCGATTGGAAATCAATATAAAAAATCATTAGATGCATCAAATCCAATGCAATTGAATCCAGTAATCAATGAAACACAATTCACTGAATTTATTATTAAATATTTAAATGTAAGCACTCATCAGCAATATAAAGATAATTTGGTAAACATTAATTCAAATGTTATTAATTCCACACAAACTGATCTTGATGTCT